AACTTAGTCGTCTAGTGCGGGCCCGTCGACTGCCACCTTTGGCATTTCGAGGTGACTTGATTCTACAGTTGGGTCTGTATTCATCGTCACCATCGTCGCCATGGATAGTCTCAGCTTCGTTTTCGAGATTTACGTCCAGATCCGTGTCGTCAGGATCAGGGTAGGCCGTCTTCGTATCGGGTTGAGGATATAACTCTTGAGGTAAAGGGTCGAAAGAAGATGGAGAACTCGAGCCGTCACCTTGGTAGATGGAATTGGGAGTGGTGCCGTCAAACTCAGCATTCATGTCGAGGGTGAAAGCATTGATCTCTTGCTCCTCTCTGATTCCAGAAAAGGGTTGACTTGGTTCAATGATAGCCGGGTCCACACATCCTTGCGGACCACTTGATAGTCCGTAAAGGGAGACACTAGGTGACAGAGAGCCTGAACCAACAATGTTCGGAGACAAGACTGCAACATCGGACGGCGTAGAAGGGCCTAGAGTGCTGACATGTGCATCATTATCTGTCCAATTGGGACTGTGTGGTCCACTCGCAGCTGATGATGGTTGGTAGGACATTGGAGAGCCCGGACGGACTTGTGAATTTTGATGGGCAGGACCACTCATATCAGGGTAAATCCCGGTATATTGAGTGCCTGGGATATCAACGTATGATGAAGCGATGAAGAAGCTGCTCTGAGGCTCTTGCAGATACCTTTGCATGCTGTTGGTGCCACAGTAGATACCTTCGTGGCTGGGATAGGGTGCTATATGTTGAAGAAGGGGATCAATTTGGCAGGTGAAATCTTCGGGATTTGCTGAGTCAGGGCTGGAATAGGAGAAATAACGTGTGTTGGATAAACACCTAGCTCCTTTGTTCCTCTCATAGGGTGAATGGAAAGTCATGGTGTTAACAGATCCCCTTCTGTTAGAGAGGCACTGTAAGTAAGGCCCTTTACGGCGAAAGAGAAGAAGAAGAACAAGAGCACGGTATGCCAAAGTCTTCAGAGCGAAGAAAACCTGGAGGAGAAAGTGCCAATGAGCTGTTCAAGTTCTAGCGCCGAAGTTAAGAACCATCAGCTCTGAAATGGTGAATGGGCATGTATATCATGAGTGCAAAATGTGCGAGTTGGTAACGCAAGACGTTGGACGTATAAGTCACCTGTAGCGCAAGCTCGGGGAGCCAAGGTGAGTGGGAGGCTTGGTGTAAGTAGGAATGGAAAAAAGCGAAATTCACAAAGTGTTGACCAGAAAGGGATTGCTAGGATTGTTGACCACAATAGAGAGGAGTCGCCATGGTGGAGGGCGAGGGCGAGGGCGAGGGCAGACATCTTAATAGATTATAAAGACCCCAAGATTTGTATGGCCAGAAGGTCTCGCCAGCCTATCTCGAGAGACCCGCCGACGCGGGCATTGGGCACTCCCTGAGTTGGTCGAGCAGAGCCTCAAGTACGTACCTCAGCCTGAAGAGGCATCGGTGGAAGTGGAGCACTGCGCTGATCCCATCTATTACTCTTCAGGACGACCTGCAGCAGCATGGGACTCCAGACCTGACCCTGACCGGCCTCGCCCTGTCATCCTTGGGAGAAGATGGTGTGGGAGCCGGGACGGAGCCGTCAAGTGGAAGGATACCTTGATGTAGGTAGGAAAAAAATGCCCAAATACGAATCTGGTGGCCGAGACGGGAGATAGAGACTTTTGTGAGCTGTAGCTGCTAGGTGAGGTTGGTTTCATCTCCCAAACTCTGTCCCAGGTCGGTATGCACTCGAATTCTTCGAATAACTATCAGACATTTTCGAACTGACAGCGGGTATGCATCGCTGAGAGAAGCCATGTTGACATCGTCTTCAGTCATTGGCGGCCAAGTCCATGGCCGGTAATGCTAGTCCAGGGCACGCACACGGGGGTGAGTGAGCTTAACGCCACGCAACAAGACGGTAAGGCCCGTTCAGCCGCCATGTCAGTACTGTATGTATTGCGCCAATGTGGATGGATACGTGCCAGTGTGAGTGAGTCTAAGCATTCCTTGCAGCCGCAACGGTGATGCGACGGCGATGGCGATGCGGCGTTGAATGTTGATAGGCCGGTAGAGTATGAACTGTGTCTGTGCCCGAGAATGGGTAGGCCAGGGATGAGCAAAGCAAAGTAAAGCTCAATCGTCAATCCTCCAGCAAGCTGACGCTGATGACTGGCCTGAGACAATTTGATGCAAGACGTCTCTTCCTGGTGACGGCCACCTCTGATTAGGGCCATCATTGCGCGAGTGTGGATAGCCGCCAAGTCAGAGAGAGCCTGCAGAGTGTTAACCCCAGTAAAATCCGCGTCAGTGAGCGAGGATCGCGATTAGTGGCGGCTAATATTTTCCAAGAATGACCCTTGAAACGTTTCATGACGAGTAACTACGTGCTGTGTCATGTGTGTCTCCCTACCTAGGTAGTCAGGGCTGGAGTTGTTGACGATTTGAGAACTCGATGAGAATGCGAAATATTTCTTCCAGTGGTAGTTTTGACGAACTCCTCCTTATCCCCAAAGAAACGAAATCACTCATGGTTGAGGTCCTCCAGCGCGAGCCAGAGCTGGAGCTGGAGGATCGACGACAGGCGTTAAACGTTAGGTTGGTTAATTTAATGGAGCCAAGGAAATACCTCTCCTGCCTCTCCAGCACTAAACCTTTGTGGGCCAAGTCTACACATATGAGCACCTTAAAAAAGTAGGCGGCCATCGCCTAGATCTTGGCCAATAATGAGCACTAGAAGAGAGGCTAGTGGATTGCTAGAGCCAACAGACTTACAAGCATTGCCTCGCCCGACCTGGGTCTTGGCTGTCACTCCTTGACTGTCTAGACTGTTTATGAGTTCCCGCCCCATGCCATGCCATCCCGTCTTACACAAACGTTACCCTGGTGTACATACACTATACCGTGCAACTGATGGGGGGGAGGGGCAGAGGCAGGCCAATCTGATTTATCGCACGAGTTTGGCTTTCAGCTCTCGTTCTTCTATTGGCACAAAGATCCTTGTCAACATCGATCCTCAATGACACCCCGTCTCCAGTCTGATAATCAAGAGTCCAACAACAGAATCTCGAGAATGCTTGTTCAGGTACTCATTCCTCCAGCAACTACTCGGTACTATACCATGTAAGTTATAGTTATGTCATGGAGAATAAGGGAGTATGGTCGCACCTTATTCGAGAGCAGATTCTCTGCAAAGAATACAGCAATTTGAACAAACAATCGGGTCATCATGCTGTCCTGGACTCGGAAGAAGACACCTGTGTAAGTCACTATTGGTCCGGGGAGCAGGTCGGGGGGTACGGGCCTTGTTCTTCATGACAGATATCAATTATGAATCATCACAATACGGCAGCAGGGCTGAGTCCATAGCTACACACACCTCCATTCGCATGCACGCGCCATGGGGCTGTCTGGGTCAAAGATTAATGTCTGCAAGGCGATGGTACATGGACGAAGTATTAACAGCCCCCAATATGAGCCTTGGGATTGTCCCGTAATATTGTATGCCGAATGAATATCGAGTACCTCGCTTCAGCTGGAGCGAGCTGGATGTTGGGTTCATCTATTTTGAGCCATGTATGTACGAATACGTAAATTTACGTCTGCCATCTTCGTATCTTGATCCGACTGGATGAACCGAGTGCGTGGATTCAGGTTGACTCCAGTGCACACAGTCCTTCAGCCTCTTTACAACCTGGCTCGAGTCACAGTCAGCGTTGTACCACTCTCAACCGCTATGTAATTAGGAAATCCAACATGTCAGCGTTAGATGTCAAGCTGAACCATTAGGCGCCGCTGTTAACGTGAAGTCACTTGTCCCCAATGATACAGCAGCCTTTTGAAATCTATCTCAAGCATAGTGGAACCAAAACTCTCCGTCGTTCGGCTCATCCATTCCACAACCATCGAGATGAACCCCTCTCATGGCGATCCCGCTTCATGGGGTGATCAAGATGGTGCCGAGACCTTTGGCTCCTGCATTAACTTGATGGTACCAGTCGTTGAGATGCATGTCTGGGCTCACTCGAGCGTCGGGAGGATCGGTGTCTTCCCCAAGTGTGGTGCAGATCTTATCTTCCGTGGGTAACCCCTGCGAGATAGCCTATCTACTCCGTACTCTGTCGTATGTACTTTCTTCAACCCCATGCCCCTGTGGGGAGAGCAAGGGCCATGTTAGTGGCCGCCCTTGGTCCCTTGTGTAACATGACAAGTGATGTAGACTACCCAACGCGGCTCCTGGGGAAATGAGCAACTACCAGAAACTCACAGCGGTGCCTTGGCTGACCCCTCAGATACCAATAGTTCCTTTTGTCGTCAATGAATCATTATGCGCCTGTGACACACATAGAATGCATGTCCGGCGAGGCAACTCGTGTGTCGGGTTCAGCTCTGAAGCATCTCGTCCACATGGACCTCATGGCTGCTCTTGATCACGCCGCGGGAGCTTATCCGGGGCGCCTGTTGGAGTGGCTTGAAACTGAGACAATAGTCCGCGCCATGCCAGTCGGTGGTCAACTAAACTGGAAATGCGTCGTATGCGCCAGGGCACTATTCGAGCGTGCGGACGGCACTCGAAGTTAGCCGATGCCCCTGTCTTCTTGGCTTTGTTGATCCTACCGGGGCCGTTTGGTAATATCCCGGACCAGACTCTCACTAGTAATTCGTGATATATCAGGAGCAAATCTCACAATTGCCCTGGCTGCCTGGCCACTGCCTGTCTTATAGCATTGCTATGATTGGGGCTCGCACTCAAGCATCAACGTGCTCTTGATTTCTGCACATCCTAACCTTAGCCTTGTTGGAAACTGCAGAAGGCGAAGATAAGATCAATTTCATTCTATTATAAATACAAGTACTTCCCAGGCAAAAACGACCCTTTTGACTCTTGTAACTTGTAAACATCCGAATATGCCACATGACGGGGGTATATCATTCGCATCATAAAAACAGAAAAGGGAATATCCGTTGATTATAGTATAACATTGACACGCTGAACACAATAAGCTAACTGTCGCTTGTAGATGGAATTGCGTGCCAAGTACAGTTCTTGCACGAACGTTGGTTGCACTCGCAGCACAACGTGTTGTTGCTGAAACTGTTTTCAACGGCACAATTACACTATTTGAATGTGTCAGTCTGGTTGCGATTGGCATTTGGGCCGGAGCTCTACTCACACATGTCCACATATACATATCCTTCTTTCTACCTCGGCGATCTTCACCACTGTTTTCTGTAGAAACACTGCTCTGAGGAGATATCGGATCACATGGGGATGATCCAGATGAGGATTCAGACTCATCCACCTGGGGAGCCGAGGGGACAATTCTGTGGTCCTTCTCATGTATCCACTCGCTGATGTCTCTCTGGGGTACACGACGGCCAGAGAAATGGTCGTCGATGTGATCGCAACGTTTCGCCCAGGTGTTGTCTGTCTCTCTAATCTCAACAGTTTCCTGACAGAAGCCGCACCAAAAGTGAGCATCGCAGTGACGACCCTTTCGACAACCTTCAACTTTCTCTTCGAGCTTGCTGGTATCTGTAATCTCATGCTCCTTCGAAAGATGGTTCCGGAAGCTCTCACGGCGGTAGCAAACCTTACCACAAGGCTCAGCAGAATCAGGCTTGACGCAGTCACATATCCATGTCTCGAGCTGATAATGCTGGATGGATTCATGTCTCTTCCAATCGTTCTTGCTTCCAAATGTCTTTTTGCAATCGGCAAAAGTGCACCCGTATGGCTTTGAATGCCTCTTCTGGTGCTTCCTATAGAAATAGTTAGCCAAGATATTCAGCGTGTTGGACAATAACACTTACTTCAGCTCGCACAGACGAGGAAATGCTTTGTCACAATCTTGACATTTGTGAGGATGTGATTGGCTCTTGCTGTTCACTGTATGTAGTTTTGAGGCCTCCTCTCCGAGGTCTGCGAATCGCTTCTTCAGATAGCTTGCGATGAGTTCTTTTGGTATTTTATCAAGAAGGTCAACGTATGCTGATTCTGGGCTCACATCGGACGGTGTTTCACTTTCTTTCTCGAGTGGGGGGATTGCTTTAGGAGTCCGTTGGGCTTCGTCAGCGTCAACCATTCTGACATCAACCTGTTGGCTTCCCGAGTCCCCACTGTTGCGAGAGCCGTCTGTAGTTGTTCCTTCACCTTGCTGCACGCCGTCCATAGTTTCTAGTGCATCATCGTCAGGCTGTTCAGCTTCAGAAGCGGTGACATCGTCACCCGGCGCATCCTCCTCAGAAGCGGATACCGGCCATTGGTTCGATGGCAGAGCACTGCGCCCATGGATAATGTCAGGGTGAACAAAGTTCTCGTCACCTTCTCGTACCGTTGCAAGGCTCGATGCATCTCGATCAAAAGATAAAGAGGGTGGTCCTCGAGGAGGATTGTTTGTACCGGATTGGGATTGTGAAGCCCGTCGTTCACCATACGGCACCCGGAAGGATAGAATTGTTGAGGGGTGGGCAAGACCAGGTAACTGTTCTTGTGCCTGGAGATATGCCATGGCACTCCCTCCCACGCCCTCGAGGTCTTGCGATGGAACTGGACTGCAGTTTATTAGCTAACTTCTCGGTACCAGAGAAAAGTATGGGGCTAAAAAGGAAGGGAGAGAAAAGGCATACCGATGCACATATTCAGAGAGATCGTCATTGGCTGAATATGTCTTTGCATGAATTCTCTGCAGGTGTGACCTAAAGTTGTCTGCCCTTGGCCAGATTTTACTTTTCTTCGCACAATTGCCAATATTACACACAAAGGTGCGACCAGAAACAGTGCGGTCGCTATGTACAGTTCTCTTATGTCTGTCAAGGTCGTTCTTGGAAGTGAAGCCTTTCTCACGCGAGCAGCCTGTAACGTCACAGTGCCACGGAAGAGAATGTTTCAATTCATGTTTTCTAGGCTCTATCAGTAAAGGGGTGATCAATGGAGGTTAAACCCGTGTGCTCACCTTAGCTCGGAACGTGTACGGCATCGTTTCTGGCATTCACCACAAATCCAACGTCGCTCTCCACCAACCGGGGCCGTTGCAACGCTTGCGGGCGGATAAGGTCGGACCCATTGGTCTTGATATAAGTGAGCATCGTTGGAGGCTGGTTGACACTGTAGTTGAAGGGTTTCCAGGTTTCTGTTGACAAGCTGGGCATCCGAGTTTTGAGGTTCCAAATTTTGGACATCAGGGTCCATATCTTCGCCATATGCAGAAGGGTTGCCGATGCTATGAGTCAAGCGGCTGCCGTAGGCCGAATCCTCTGGGTTGGTATCGCATTCTGATAAAAGTGGTTTGCTCCGATAGTCTTGATATGAAGTTTGGAAGTTGGCGGATCCAATAAGTTGCGAACGGGTCTGGCCATCATTAGGCGCACCGAAGGCAAGAGGGTTCCAGGGATCATCTCCAGCCCAGTTTTGCCAAAAAGGGTTCGTGGTCTGATGCCTCTGCTGACCCAGAGTAGCCAGGTTCGAGCTCTGCTGTTGAGCCGCCTGCGGGGAAACATTGGCGCTGCCTCGCGGTTCCTGTGAAGAGCTAAAGGAGTCCATTCTGCGGGCAGAAAGTCGGTGTTGCTATCAGAGTGACCGGACGCGCTAAATATAGATGATTTCGAGCCGTACTGTTTATCTGAGCAGCACCGCTAGGGGCGATAATTGGGAGCCCAGGAATGATCGTGTAGATGAACAGTAGTCGCCACAACGATTCAAGAGCGGCTAGGGCCTCGAGTTAGCCGTTATATTGTAGCAGTACATCATAATCTGTCAGAGTTGATAGACAGGAGGGCTACAAGTCATTCGACTTTGGTAGGGACAACAAGGTTCTCGACCCAACACTGTCGATCGAATTGGGTAGGACACATAAGAGAGAGACAGAGAGAGAGACACAGCAACCAGAAGAATCAAAGGAATCAAAAGGCATACATTAGGCTGAGGTCAAATAGCTGGGTCCAGCACAAACAAGCGTTGAATCCAGGGTCCAAGTCCAACAAGGGATCCAGGTCGGACGACTGATGACAGATACTAGCGTGAGGTTTTTGTCAAGTCAGCAGGTCGAAGCCAGAGAGATCCCCAAGTGGTTGACCGAGCTGGCTGGTAGCTACACCAGTGATAGTCGATTGCCTTAGGTATATGTTGTGTTGTGTTGTGTTGTGTTTCGCGTCAGGGTGTCACTACCAAAGTAGCATGAGCCATGGGTTAGTAGGCAAGCATTGAGATGTATAGGTTGGCTTAGAAAAAGGCAGAAGGCAAAGGAGGATGGATGCAGAAGCGCAAATGAAGATGTAAATGGCGGGGGGGAGCGATAGGGAAATAGAGGAGGGAAGAGTCGCTGTGATGAAATAAAAGAAGGTAATGGGACGGTATTGTATTTGGCAAGTACAGTTCCGGGTGAGATATGAGCGACTCTGTCTTCCCCAAACCGCCTCACTTTGAGGCTTTGCTATGCATTTGAACCAATCAGCATTCTTCTTTCAACCCCCAAAATACTAGGCATCCGGCGAGGCAGCCTGCGTTCGCCCGCTGACGAAACTTAGTTGAAAGTACGTTTTTGCGAACCATCAATTAATGATGCGGCTGAATTTGCAACGGATCATAATATGTCTACATACGTCACCAGCATATGATTAGAACGCCTCTATAAGAACATTCGGTTTCCTTTTTCACAATTCGGTGCTTCGAACCGGTATCTCTTTATTTACCGTGTCACCCACGATCACCAGGACTAAACAAACGGTCGCGACTATTGCCGTCATTCTGTATCATCATCAACAATTAAAGCATACGGCCCCATACGACTGATGGTCCTGATTCACAAGAAAAATCGAAGAATAAAAGCTCAGCTACCACAGTTTCCCGACACAGCATTGATTCTCAGATGTATGTTGTTGCTCATAGCCAGCAAACGCAAAACGCCCCTTATTGCAAGTGCGCCAAGCTCTTTATCACATCAAAACCATGACAATTATCCTCAATTGTTGATATATTCTGTCATGGAATACTCGGCTTATCATATGCATGTCTAGGACACCCCCCTAGAATACCCAATAACAAGCACCTGGTTCACTTCTTTATCCACCTCTGGATAGCACCATTCTTCATGACTCGATGATTTGGTCCGTTGTCTCTTCTCTCATCTACTCACTTGGGTCCAGCTTGATTTGGCCACATGCATTGTGCAGTTCTTCATTAGCCTTGATAATATCTGCACGTTGCCGAACATCCCACTATTTATCCTGGATCAACCTCCTCGAGGCCGAATGTGGCTGAACGAAAACGATTCAAGATATCTATTGAAATGTAAGTGGCGGCAATAGCCTGTTGGAGGATGAATGTATATCGCGCGAGGACCTCAGCTCATGTCGAGACCCGTTGGGTTGAGAAAGACAACAGCAGCACCAGTGCCTCCTGCGTATGCCCGTCCTTCTCAACTTGAACCCTCGACCAGTTCGAAACTCCGATGCCCCACGACTCTCAAGTGAGACCTGGCATTCGTGTTCTCGTTTGATATTTAGATTGCGGTGCTTCTTCGTTGATACGATATTCCAGATATCGCCAAAGGAGCTATCCAGCTTATTCTGAATATTGAAAAAAGACATAGAAGAAACGCGATGAAAACTCCGCCAACAGACCCCCATGAGACACACTGGGTAACACGAGACTCGAATCCTCCCTGACCCCTTGTTCGATAATCACTTTTTGTCTATGCAGCCAGCTGTTTTCAGCGCTGCAAGGAAAATGTGCAGCTAATATCATTATGGGTTGCAGATAGTCCATTGCATAGGCCGATTCCTCAAATATTTTGGAAGTCGATTGGATGATAAAGACTAGAACCCTTGTCTATTGCCCGACAGCTGGATGATACAGGAACTGGGGAAACGAGGAAACGAGGAAACAAGGAAACGATAATAGGGTATACTTCAATGGACGAACTCTGAAGCCGGCGTCGGCTCTCTTACTATAAAATGTGCATCCTTTGCCACCGATCAGTCGTTATCACTAAGTCTGTTCGCTATCATCTACGGTTTTAGTTTGTTGATCACTTACTCATACGTTGGACCTCGCAACTCAGACTCCTTGCAACGACTTAGGAAGCTCTTGTAAGAAGTTACTACCTATTATCGAGGCTCGCCTAAATAACTTAATCACATCAGGATAATTCAAGTCAAAGGCAATTGCCATAACAACAAAAATGTGCGATTGGGAAGAGTTTCTCTTCGCATGCAATCACTCGACCCTCCGCCTCAAGTCATACTGCCACTTTGCTCGCAACGACCCTAATCATCAATGTTTTGGAGTCAAGGTCCTGCGCAAGTCATGGAGGCAATGCGTTCCTTGCGACAACTGTGCTATCGCTTGCCGGGCAAGCGAATCTCAGGCACAACATAACTGCGATCAGGAACAGTCTTTGCAAAGACATCGCGGATAAGTTTGGAGGCTTTCGATCAGTTATGAGCTTGGGTTGTCAATGGTTTATGAGTGTTGTTGGCTAAGGATTTCATCTTGTCGGTCACCCCCTTCTATAATCCTAAATGCCATAACCTCTATCTTTGTCAATCAGTTCGTATACATGAGTAGAAATCGCCGCCGATGTAATTATAGGCACAGCACTCGTGTGATATAAGCATGCATGAACCTCTTTTTGGTCCCCAAAGATCTCATATGTGACACGTAGTGCTCAAGCTTCGCTATCCAGGTCTATCTGTCCAGAAACCAACACTCGTGTGAAACTGGGCTGTCAGGCGTAGATGCTACCCCTCGCTTTCCTCCGAGCAGAGACAGGCTACAGGCCGGACCCAAATAGCGCCACAGACGGTAGGATGGGTCGAAATGGTAAGGATAAGACAGAAGCGTTGTGGGCCCGTTTTGTGCAACGCTGCTTGTACGAGAGCACTAAGTTGACAAAACATGAAAGCTGGGAGGGGGTGGACTTAAAGCGGAAGATCTACTGCCCAAGACCAGGTTTGCCTCGATTGAGTATACAAGGGCACACTGTGGCTTGAGCGAGAGAAGTGAGCGTTTGTGTGATCGGTGTTGAGATAGTCTCTCAGCATGTCGGCCATAGCATAGGACCATTCGGTGAGCTACAGACTGCATCTTAGATCCTTCGAGCTTCCTGGGCCCATGGCGGCAGAGAATCAGAGAGTCGAACCACTTCTTATTGTCCACAAAAAAAAATTATAATGAAGATGAAGGTTTTATAACTTGACTTGAGTACTCGGAGGGTACTCGGCCAGTCAGTCCATGTTCGTGGCACCTTCAACAACACCAACGACGTTGTACCGCTTTGAAAAGAAAGTAATCCAGTCATTCAATACGCCCTTTTCCTTCTCATCCAAATCCTGCCACTCTGGCCGTGCATCCTCTGGCTTGGTCGAAGTCTTGCCGAGAGCTCTCGAGGCATCCTTGCCGGCAAAGACTGGTCATGTCAGTTAGGTATCGTGGGCTGAGGCATATGCAATCAGAAGATTTACCATTGTAGGAAGCTCCAGGAAGGTAAGCTTTGTTTCCAGTCACGTCGTAAACCTTGCCCTGTGTTTGACGTGATCAGTCGTGCTCACACCAGATTGATCATGCAGCCAGTTGCTTGCCATGGGAAATTATACCTTGATGGCTACGTAACACTTGTTTCCATCCGCACCTTTCTTCAGATTAGCAATGTCCAATTCAAAAGTCCCAGATACAAGACTAAGTCAAAGCCAGCATGATGCTTTAGCTGAGCATCATGAGGGGCGGGCCGTACCGTTGGCTTTAGCGAGCTCTTCTCGAGAGATGATGTCGTCCTTTGGGGGGTCGAGGTTCACAGGAACCTTAGGTTCAAACTTTCCAGCCATTATTTTGGTTGTAGTGTAAGAACGAGAGAGTAGCAAGGGAATAAGTTTGAATGGTTCTGGGCGGTTCTCCAGATTCCGTCATATGCAATCTCTCCCCTCGCCCCGCCAAAACCAAAGACGACCCTGAACTTTCGCGCCCAAAAAGCCTCGGCCAAGTCAGCTCTAGTTACTAGCGGATTCCGAAACTGCCCTCCACTAAAGAATCTCATTGATTGGAAACGCTCAGGCCAGTATTCGTCCGAGAGATGGTCTGTGCGCAGTTACGATGAGCTCCATGTTAGCATCCACTTACAGCTTTTCAATCGCGACGCTTGTCATCACCACCATAACCATACAAAAAGAAGCCCCAGCCATCACTCGCCGAGGGACTCGTCAACCGGCTTACCATGTCGGTATCAGCAGTTGCATCGCTGAGACCCCTCCGTCGGCGATGCTGGCAGCATCCAGCTTCCGGCCTGTTATCCGTCCAATTACGTTCACGAACAGCCACGGTCAACTTCTACACTGTTGTTGGTTTCCGGCCAGACCAGCGTCGATTCCAAACAAGCAATTCAAGTAATCGCCATGATGGAGATCTTGAAGCCAGAAAGAACCAGTTACCCAAGAAAAGTCAACCGACACCACCACAGATCACATTCCGCCAGTTTGCTGGCCGTGCTCTTGCTGCTGGCCTACGTAGTCTTGCAGTCGCCATGAGTCCAACCGGTATCAAGACAGCGT